AAATCCCTGGAATTCCCGCCACTGACCGATGACCTCGATGTACTGGATGCAGCGCTCCATGAACCCAAAAACCACCAAAAAAACCCCCAAAAAATCCTAAAAAACCCTAAAAAACCCTTAAAAAATCCAAAAAAAATTCCCAAAAAATTCCCGAAAATTCCCGAAATCCCGGGAATTGCGGTGACTGACCGATGGCCTCGATGTACTGGATGCAGCGCTCCATGAACCCAAAAAAAACCAAAAAACCACCAAAAAAACCCCAAAAAAATCCTAAAAAAATCCCTTAAAAATGCCAAAAAATTCCCCAAAATTCCCAGAAATCCCTGGAATTCCCAGAAATCCTCAGAATTCCCGCCACTGACCGATGGCCTCGATGTACTGGATGCAGCGCTCCATGAACCCAAAAAACACCAAAAAAACCCCCAAAAAATCCTAAAAAACCCTAAAAAACCCTTAAAAAACCCTCAAAAAATTCCCCAAAATTCCCAGAAATCCCTGGAATTCCCAGAAATCCTCAGAATTCCCGCCACTGACCGATGGCCTCGATGTACTGGATGCAGCGCTCCATGAACCCAAAAAACACCAAAAAAACCCCCAAAAAATCCTAAAAAAACCCTAAAAAACCCTTAAAAAACCCTCAAAAAATTCCCCAAAAATTCCCGAAAATTCCCAGAAATCCCCGGAATTCCCAGAAATCCCTGGAATTCCCGCCACTGACCGATGACCTCGATGTACTGGATGCAGCGCTCCATGAAACCCAAAAAACACCAAAAAAAACACCAAAAAAACCCCCAAAAAATCCTAAAAAACCCTAAAAAACCCTTAAAAAATCCAAAAAAAATTCCCAAAAAATTCCCGAAAATTCCCGAAATCCCGGGAATTGCGGTGACTGACCGATGGCCTCGATGTACTGGATGCAGCGCTCGATGAAGACGGGGATGGGCCGCTCGGGGGTGACCACGCTGGCCAGGGGCACCCCGAAGTAGCTGCTCTCCCATGGCGCCTTGGACAGCGACGGCCGCGCCTTGGCCTTGGGCTTCTGCCGGAAAAACGGGAATTCCGGGAATTCCGGGAAAACCCCAGGAATTCCCGACCTCGGGGGGAGGGGGGGATGGACTGAAAATTCCCGTTTGGAACGGGAAAAATTCCGGTTCTGAGCCCAAAACTCCGGTTTGGAACCCCAAAATTTCAGTTCTGGACCCAAAATTATTCCGGTTCTGAACCCGGAAATTCCAATTCCGAAACCAAAATTCCGGTTCGGAACTCAAGAAATTCCGGTTCTGAGCCCAAAATTCCGGTTCTGAGCCCAAAATTCCAGAACTGGAAAAATTCCGGTTTTGAACCGGAAATTCCCGTTTTGAACCCAAAAATTCCAGTTCCCAACAAAAGGCACCGACCAGGCCTGGGCCGAACACTGAGCACAGGAGTGACCACAGGAGTGACCAC